GAGCGTAGGAAATCATACCCATCCTCTCCCTGCCCCCGAAAACAAACATTATAAATATTTCAGCTAAGAATTTGGTTTGGAAGAAGGAAGTCCTTGTCACAATAATTCTCATAAAGCAAAATAAGCAATTGAAATAAGGCAACTTCCTTGTTTCTGAAGAGCATCACTTGAAGCCCATTTATGTTGGTTCTTTTTTCCCCCTAATTTTATTTACTGGTAAAATACACATAAAATTTACCATTTTGGGGAGAAAAGAGGGAAAGGGAAGATGTTTGTCAAAAGGTACAAAGTTTCAGTTAGACAAGAGGAATAAGTCTGGTGCTCTATTGCATAGCAAGGCGATGACAGTTAATAATAATATACTGTATACTTAAAAATGGCTAAAAAAGATGATTTCAAATGTTCTCACCACAGAAAAGATAAATATTTCAAATGATGGCTATGGTAATTAGCTTGATATGACCATTACACAATATGCATATCCAAATATCATGTTGTACCCCATAAACATACAAATGTCAATTAAAAATAACTTTAATAAAAGAAAAAAATACCATTTTAATCATTTCTAAGTGTACAGTTCAGTAGTATTATGTACTAAGTATATACTAGTATATAATACTAAATATTATTTCAAATTTACTTAAGTTTTTGTCCTCAAAGGTAAAACAATATACTAATATGTAAAACAGCATTTAAACATGCAGAAGATTAACATCAAATTCAGAACAATGCTCATAAGGGAAGCAAGGAAAGAAGGGGTTCAGGAAAGAAATAAAAGTGGGCTTAAGTTTTATCTATGCTTTATTTTTAAAGATATAATGAATTAAATATGGCAAAATGCTAAGACTTGAACTGAGATTTAAGTACATAGGCATTTGTCATGTCATTTTCTATACGTTAATGTATTCTTTTAACTTTTTTTTTTTGGAGGTGGAGTTTCACTCTTGTTGCCCAGGCTGGAGTGCAGTGGTGTGATCTCAGCTCACTGCAACCTCCACGTCCTGGGTTCAAATGATTCTCCTGCCTCAGCCTCCTGACTAGCTGGGATTACAGGCATCTGCCACCATGCCTGGCTAATTTTCTGTATTTTTAGTAGAGAAGGGGTTTCACCATGTTGGCCAGGCTAATCTTGAACTCCTGACCTCAAGTGATCCACCCACCTCAGCCTCCCAAAGTGCTGGGATTACAGGCTTCAGCCACCGTGCCCAGCCCTTCCTTTAACTTTTTATTGTGACCTAATTTTAGACTTGCAGAGAAGTTGCACACATAGTACAGAGTATCCATATATCTCTCAGCTTACACCCCTAATGTTAACATCTTACACAACCATAGTACAATGATCAGACCAGGATATTAACTTGGATACAACATGATTAACTAAAACAAAGATGGTATTGGAATATCCCGTTTTTCCACTAGTGTCCTTTTTTATTCTATAATTCTATCTAGAACCACACATTGCATTTGGCGGTTACTTCTCCTTAGTCTCTTGCAGCCTGTGACAGTACTTCAGTCTTTCCTTGCCTTTCTTGACTTGACACTTGTCAGTTACTTTGTCAAATGTCCCACAATTGGAGTTTGTCAGATACTTTCTAATGATTAGGTTGAGATTATACATTGTTGACAAGAATACCAAGAAACTATGCTCTGCCGTCAGTGCCTTCCATCACAGGTTCAGGATGCCTCTTTTTCGTATGCTTAAAATATTTCATAATTTCAATAGATAAAAAATAAATAAATAGCTGTATTACTCTTGGTTCTGTAGAGGTAAAAAATCAATAGGAGGTGAACGGATGAAAGGAAGGAAGGGGAAAGAAGAAAGAAAAAGGAAGGAAGGAAGGAAGGAAGGGAGGAAGGGAGGGAAGGAGGGAAGGAGGGAAGGAGGGAGGGAAAGAGAAATAGAAATAGAAAGGAGGGAGATTTTAAGGAATTGGCTCATGCAATTATGTAGGCTGAGAAGTCCCACGATCTGCCAACTGCAAGCTGGAGACCCAGAAAACCCAATGGTATAATTCCAGTCTGAGTCTGAAGGCTTGAGAAGCAGGAGGGCTGATAGTGTAAGTGCCAGTCTCATTCCAGGAGCAGAGAAGGACTGTGCAAAATCTCCTTTACTCAGTGTTTTGTTTCACTCAGGCCTCAGTGGATAGGATAATGTCCACCCACACTGGGGAGGGCAATCTGCTTTACTGGGTCTACTGATTCAAATACTAGTCCATACAGAAATACCCTCATGGACACCCCCAGAATAATGTTGAACAAATACTTAAGCACCACATGGCTGAGCCAGGATGACACATAAAATTATGCACCATAACAGCTTAACTTCTAAATTAGAAACTTCCTACTCCGTATATTTAGGTTCCAAATCCCATCAAGTCAAATGGATCTCAGGAAATGTTCCAATTCTTAATTATTATTGGCTTCAGGCCTAAAACATTATAAAGTCACTCCATACTACCATTTCTAAAACTTCGAGAATCTTTATTAAGTTGATCTTGCTTCAAGAGAAAAGGCAGTCTATACTACTTAGATAATGTAATACTTGTAATCCAAGAGAAGCTAGACCTGCAAGTCAAATTAAGGCCCTAAGAAATAAATTAACATGAGGTGTATTGTTAATGAGGACCCCCAAATCCCCTGATCTTATTTTGGAAGCGAAAGTGAAGTTATCATTTAGAATTGACTACATTCCTCAGCATACCATCCTAACAATGATGTCTGTCATTGCTATTTCTATGATGCTTTAGAAAGAAAAACCTAAATGATTATATATTTTTCTATGGCAAAAAAAAGAGTGTGTTTCAGGCACTTTCATGATCTGAGTTGTATATACTAAAAGTTGTGTGTACACACACACAGATTGTAGAGAATATATCTGATATGGTTTTGCTGTGTCCCCACCCAAATCTCAAATTGTAGCTCCCATTATTCCCAAGTGTTGTGGGAGAGACCTGGTGGGAGGTATTTGAAACACGGTGGTGGGTCTTTCCTGTGCTGTTCTTGTGATAGTGAATAAGTCTCACGAGATCTGATAGTTTTATAAAAGGGAGTTCCCCTGTACATGCTCTCTCTCGACTGCCGCCATGTAAGACATGACTTTGTTCCTCCTTTGCCTTCTGCCATGATTGTGAGGCCTCCTCAGCCACATGCAACTGCGAGTCCATTAAATCTCTTTTTCCTTATAAATAACTCAGTCTTGGGTATAACTTTATTAGAAGTGTGAGAACAGACTAATACAATAGCTCTACAAATATACTGTAGAGAAATGGTATAAATAAGTAAAATTTCAAGTTTTCTCTGAGGGTGCCTCCCTTTGAAGCTCTTCTGTCCTCAGGATCACTCTAAACTTTGCTGGTTTAGGCTGGGAAATCATTTCTTCTTTAAATGTTTATATTCAGTTCAAAGAGCTCCATTTCCATGAGTAATGACAAAACATAGTTTCCACCCCTACCACCTCCACTCTAGCTGCATGGAGAGGAAACTACTTATGAATTCTTTTCTAGGCCCCCAGAGTTCTGGAAGGCAGTCACTGAGTTTTCATGAAAAGCCAGAGCAAGGACTCCAGATCCCATTATGCCAAAGAGGAAGCTGAATACTTATTTTAAATTTCATTTTAGCCTGCCCCAAATGTGGACACCATTGTTAGGCCAGTCCCGTATACCATGTGTACCTTTTGCAAGTCTCTTAGAACAAGCTGTTCCCCTCAAAGGATTTTCTTCCAAGGAACCAGAACATGGGTTTATTTTGGCCTGGATCAGCTCCTCCAGGAATGTTCCAGGGAGGAGGTGGGTGGTCAGCCTCCTGAGACAAGAGTGTGTAGAGGTCAGGATATGGGCTCTGAAGCCAGACTACCTATGTTTGAATCCAGGTTCTGGGTTTATGATCGGGGAATGTGAGGGAGTTATACAACCGTTCATGCCTTGGTTCCTCCTTCTATTGAATGGGGCAAATGATGATACTTAACTGATTGAGTTGCTGTGAGGATTAAAAAATGACATATGTAAAGTGCTTAGTACAAGACCTGGCATATAATAAGTGTTAAATAAGTGCTAGGGAAAATTAGCCAGGCATGGTGGTATATACCTATAGTCTTAGCTACCTGGGAGGCTGAGGAAGTTTGCTTGAGGCCAAGGAATTTGAGTCTGCAGTGAGCTATGACGGCATCACTGCACTCCAGCCTGGGCAACAGAGTAAGACCCCATCTCTAAAAATAAGAAAATAAAATAAAATAAATGCTAGGGGGCCGGGCATGGTGGGTGGCTAACGTCTGTAATACCAGTACTTTGGGAGGCCGAGGAGTGTGGATCACTTGAGGTCAGGAGTTTCAGACCAGCTTGACCAACATGGAGAAACCTCATCTCTACTAAAAATAAAAAACGTTAGCCAGGTGTCGTGGCCCATGCCTGTAATCCCAGCTACTCAAGAGGCTGAGGCAGGATAATTGCTTGAATCCGGGAGACGGAGGTTGCAGTGAGCTAAGACCGTGCCACTACACTCCGGCCTGGGTGAAAAGCAAGACACCATCTCAAATAAATAAATAAATAAATAAATAAATGTGAGGGAACATGTGGCTTCTGACTTAAACACCTTCCAGGATTAATCCAGGTCCACAATCACCCAGGGGAGTTGTGGGCAGTCTGTGGGCACCTGTCAGGCTGCGTCTGTTGGGTAGTAGAAGCTGCTTCTTTCTAACTCTAAGTCTGCCTATTTCTTCTATCATGTCATCAGAATTCCTTAAACATCTTATTTAACAGAATATACAAATTTAAGCCAGTTCTACAGTGAAAAACCTGAGAGTGAGTCATGGCAAACTTTAACTGTAATCTTGTAAGATGGAAATGGAGATAGACAAATATTGGGAAAAGATCTTAAGAAAACTGATGAATCCAATAGGTAGGTCAGATAAGCATTTCTTGGTTTTCTGCTTTCCATTTGTAAGCATGTCTGTGTGTGTGTGTGTGTGTCTGTGTGTGTGTGTGTGTGTGTTTATACCCATGGCCCTTATTTAGAGCTCTAAATCTCCTAAGGACAGGAACCACCTGCCACCTGACAAGAGAGAAGTAACCTCCATGCATTTGTCCTTCTACCCTCAAGAGGGATCCTCTTCAGCCCAGGATGGTATAGACATAGATTATTTTGGAAACAAAGGGATAGATTGTGTGGCTTTCTATCCCCTTTTTTCCTTTTCCCTTTCCACATTCCTGGCTCTAACTTGGTTCTTTCTGTTGCCATGGTAACCAACAGTCTCAGAACACAGACTTCTGACAGCTGGACTTTTAGCCACAGAGACTCGGGATGTGGAGGATTTCTCATGTCTCCCCTTTTGCCTCAGGAGTTAGCAGCACTTCTTCCATGTGAGCAGCCACCAGGGCAGGGTGTGAGAGTATGTGTGTGTGTGTGTGTGTGTGTGTGTGTGAGAGAGAGAGAGAGAGAGAGAGAGAGAATGCGCACATGCGCACGTGCATTCTTCCAGCCCTACTTTGGGGCTTCACAGAAAAAGCTGGACTAAACAGTGCCATCAGATGGTGGGAGGATGGGCATCTAAATACCAAAACCTTTCTGGAAAGTAATTTGGTATCAACTACCACAAGACTTTAATATATTTGTGGGGTTTGGTCCATTAATCCTACATATAGAAAAATAAGAGACATACTCTTAGATTTATGGAAGATTTATGGAAAAGTGGGTTTACCAGAGATTGATTTAGTAAAGGCAGTAACTACCACCTAATTGTCATTAATAAGAAGTGGTTAAAAATTGCAGACTAACCATATATATGTTTGTTGTAGGCTATGGGATAAAATAATTTCAGTTTCAACTGATGTCATATCCACACTTACATATACGTATATGTGGACATATTGTATAAATGTACAGATAAGTATATGTGTGTTTATATAAACAGAAAAGATAAGGAAGTCCATCAAAATGTTTTGATAGTTATCGTTATCTTTAGAAGGTAGGACTATAGCATATTTACTTTCATCTTCATACTTTTCTATATTTTTCCAATTTTATACAATGATCATCCTTTTCTTTTATGACACAAGATCTTACAACCATAGCAGGACAAATGTTGAGAAGTGGAGATGCTTAGTAGAGAGGATTATAACACAATGAAATAAGTTTTGAAAGGGAGAAGGCTGCCTCTTCTGCCCTTCACTGAGAGATTATAAAAATTGGATAATACTGGCCGGGCCCAGTGGTTCATGCCAGTAATCCCAGCACTTTGGGAGGCCGAGGCGGGTGGATCACAAGGTCAGATCGAGACAATCCTGGCTAACACAGTGAAACTCCTTCTCTACTAAAAATACAAAAAATTAGCCGGGCATGGCGGCACACGCCTGTAGTCCTAGCTACCTGGGAGGCTGAAGCAAGAGAGTCTCTTGAACCCAGGAGACGGAGGTTGCAGTGAGCTGACACTACACCACTGCACTCCAGCCTGGACAACAGAGCAAGGCTCTGTCTCAAAAAAAGAAAAAAAAAAAAAAAAGAAGATTGGATAATACTTCTATCTAAATGGGGTAGTACTGAATAGAAAAGGGAATAGGGCCGGGTGTGGTGGCTCATACCTACAATCTCAGCACTTTGGGAGGCCAAGGTGAGTGGATCACCTGAGGTCAGGAGTTTGAGACCAGCCTGGTCAACACGGTGAAACCCCATCTGTACTAAAAATACAAAAATTAGCCAGGTGTGGTGGCGGGTGCTTGTAGTCCCAGCTACTCGGGAGGCTGAGGTTGCAGTGAGCCAAGATCGTACCACTGCATTCCAGCCTGGGAGGCAGAGTGAGATTCCATCTTAGAAGAAAAAGAAAAAAGAAAAGAGAAAAGGGAATGGATAAGGTTTTTGTTTAAGTACTATGATTCTCTTCTCCCCAGTCCCATCTATTTTTTTCTTTTTTCTTTTTTTTTTTTTGAAGCTTCTCGAGTTGAGAGAGATTTGTGCCTTTGAACTCCATGGCATATTCATCCTCTAACAGCGACATAGAGGACTACAGCTCCAAATCCAATTCCAACCTGAGCCTCTCTGTGGGCTATTTCCCCTGTGAGGACACCCCCTGTGAGGACACAACCTCCTGTGAAGACGCAACTTCCAAGGATCCTTCCATCCACTTTCTCCCTCCCATCCAAGGGGCATGGGGAACTGAAAGGATAAGGAGATGCATGAAGAGACAAGACCAAATTCAGGATGAACCAGAGCAGTTTTGCAAACTAAGCATCTTCCTAGCCTGGGACGTGGACGTCAGCTCCAACAACACAGACTCAATAGCTAATAGGCTTCTAAATGGAGACAACCAGTGGATAGATGAGTTACCAAAAGAGAGAACAAAACTGTCTGTCAGCAAACTGAATAATCTTGTGCAAGAGTTTCAGACATTTCTAGAAAATCTGAAAGATGATGAAGATGATGACGCTGTATTTCCTGAAATGACTCAGAAAGATTTCCAGCTGTCCAGCGGCTCCCCTCCGGAAATGGTTCAGGTCAGTCATTAAGAACATGATGCTTGTCAAGACCTGCCCAAGTGCAAACCACCAGAAAATAAAGATGTTATGCAGTCTCCACAGACTCCTCTAAGGCTTAAGGAACATGAGCTGGCTGAGGAGAGCAGAGATGCCTCACAGGACAGCAAGGGATAGGCCTGGGTTGAACCACAGAATCTTACCACCACTGGGAGGAGACAGGTCCCAGGGAGTCTGACATGATACCAGTGGGAGACAGATAACAAGGAAGGGAGTCAGGGTGAAGCTGTAGGGAAAAGACTGAGGAACGCTTAGGGAAACAAGAGGGTAGCAAGCAAGGAGAAGGGCTAGCAACTATGTCTCCCTCCCCACCAAAAACGTATATATTTAGTATTAATGAGCATTGAAACTTTGCATTGACACTTGGGCTATTTTTGGTAAAAGGATGTGAGTTCCACAAATGAGTAAATGTTGAGTTGGCTGCTGTCATGGTTACACCTACCTAACACATCCTTCATTTTCGTGGCAGATGATAAGCCAGGCAACTGCCAGCCAAAGGACAAGAGCTCCAGAGATCTCCTCAATCCTGTCAGAGCAGCCGGAGAAGGATGACACTCCTTCCCACACACAGGCCCAGTGCTGCCTGAACTTTGGGTGGGCCTTCAGCTGGCTGAGTCAGCATATCCTCTCCCCTCTGCTGAGGAGGGATCACCCTGTGAAGGCCACCAAGAGTTCCCATCGGCCAGCACCAAGGAAAGGACTCTTTCACAGAGGCAAGAGAATTCAACCTCAAGAAACTCTTGAATTAGGACATCCCATACAGACAGATTTTTAAACTTTTTGGAAAGTTTAAGATAATCCATAATGAGGATTCCATTAATAATCCCCATCAGTTTATTTTTTTTTTCCTCAATAAACAAAATAAATGCTCTTGTTACCCCATGTCTTCCTCTTCCAGCATACCATCTTGACTCACATTTCAAGCATATGTGGGCCAGGCGCGGTGGCTCACACTTGCAATCCCAGGGCTTTGGGAGGCTGAGGCAGGTGGATCACCTGAGGTCAGGAGTTTGAGACCAGCCAGGCCAACATGGCAAAATCCCATCTCTACTAAAAATACAAAAATTAGCTTGGCGTGGTGGTGGACGCCTATAATCCCAGCTACTCAGGAGGCTGAGGCAGGAGAATCACTTTAACCTGGGGGCAGAGGTTGCACTGAGCCAAGATCACGCCACTTCACTCCAGCCTAGGCAAAAGAGCAAAACTCTGTCTCAAAAAAAATAAATAAATAAAATAAAAAATTAAAATTAAAGAAAATTTTTAAAAAAGAAAAGAAAGTATATCTGTTGTCTAGGAGACAAATTTATTCTCAGGAAATTTTAAGTAGTATTATGCTTCCTAAACTGAAGTATTGTTTTTCTCTCCTCTCACCCATTCTTACTCTATTTTACCCTAGTTTATCTATTTTATGTGTTTTAACCTATTTTATCATTAACCCAAATCTCAATTTTCAGTAGGCAGCAGCGTGACCCATCAGATTTCCACAGTGGCAGGATGATTTGGGTTGAACTTGCAGGGCTTGAGCGAGTGGCAGTGGGTAGTAAGTCACTGAGGAAATTAATTTTCATTTCAGGAGCTCGGACAGCAGTTCTGATACTCCCCAGAGACCTGACGGGTTCTAGCATGTGTTGCCTTGACTGTAGTAGTGGCCCACTTAGGAGCAATGTGAGGACTGTGAACACTACTTCACCACTCTAAGTCTAGCTGTCCTCATTCAAAAGATGTGGAAGATAATAATACATACTTCACAGGGTTAGTGTGAGAGTTTATGAGGTAACACAAGCACTTGATAAATATTATTACTGTTGTTGCAAGTAGACAGTCTACTGAGGAACTCTCCAGACAACTTGTTCAAGGGATATCTAAGAATGAGAGTTAACTAAGAGTCAATTCTCGTTGCAACATTTCCCACACAGAGCAGTATTTACCAAAAGTTCAGGGTTTTCAGCAAATCTTAACCAAGTCCTCTCCCAACCCATTCCATTCTGCCCTCTGAAACTCCTTTGCAATTGTCATTGAACGTTCCACTAAATGTCAACTTCTTTGAGGAAGGCTGCCCTCAGCCTTCTTGTCCTGAATCTTACCTCCCCAGCATCTCTACCATCCTCTTCATTCAATCACAGGTTCACTCAACATCCTCCTTCTTCTGCTGGCACTACCATCCTGTGTGACCTTCAGAGTTTATGTGGCAAAGCATATGACTCCTCAGTTTCAAATTCCTTCCTTTCCTCAATTTCAATTCCCTATCCCTCTCCTTCCTCTCTTCTTCCTTCCTTCTACAAATATTTAGCAAATAGGAGTGCCAGATACTTTTCTAGCTTGCAAAAAAAAAAAAAAAAAAAACACCCTCACTCTTTAGGCTCAAGCAACTTATTTAAGACATAAAGTCAGGCAAACATATGATTATAAAGGGTGTGAGTGATAATACTCTGTAGTGAGTAAATACTGAGTTCTAATGAAAAAAATAACCCATTCAGCATGGGGAGGTTGGTTGTAAAAGGGTTCCTATATGAGATTCTTTGAGTTATAAATGAGATTATTTAAGGTGGAGGACTTTAACTGACTTTAATTAGTGTGGAATGGAGGTATGAGATCTTGACTGGTTAATAATGCATGTGAAAGACGGTGTGGTGAATATGGCCCAGGAAAGGCAGTACAGTAGGAGGGAGGAGATAAAAAAAAAAATAGGGGCCTTTTAGGAATATACACTCAAGGTCACACCCTGAGACCTCTCACTTCTTCTGCCTCCCTGAGAACACCTGCCTAACCCACAACTCACTTGAACACACTCCTCCACCTTTGCCTGCTCTTTGACTTCACCAAGATTTGGAGTCCTATCACCACACCCATTCCCCAACTTCCATCCACTTCTGTCTAGATCCAACCCATACGCCTCCTTCCCAAACTTGGCATGTCTACCACATCTAGTAACATCTGCCACACCTTGCCCTTCTCTTCTCTCAAATCTTAAAATCTATACTTACCAAGTTCCCCAAGGGGACCCTCTTGCTCCTCACTGCAGCCAACACACAAAACCATAGCGATTTCCCTCTGCATTCCCTGACTGCCTGGGAAACTCATCCTTAAAGATCCTGCTCTAGAGTTACTGTGGGACAATATTGATCCCTCAGGAAAAGGATCACGACCCTCCTTTAGCTGCCCCCTAGTCCCTACCCTGCCACTTTCTTGCCACGACCTGTACTTTTCAGTCCTCTTTATAGATCTATTTTACCTGTAGACTGTGAGCTCTCAAGGGCAAGTACCAGGTCTTAGTTCCTTTTTATTGCAAATCCTAACACAGTGTGCCAGGTGCAGTGGCTCACGCCTATAATCCCAGCACTTTGAGAGGCCAAGGTGGGTAGATCATTTGAGGTCAGGAGTTTGAAACCAGTCTGGGCAATATGGTGAAATGTTGTCTCTACTAAAAATACAAAAATTAGCCATGTGTGGTGGCAGGTGCCTGTAATCCCAGACACCTGGGAGGCTGAGGCAGGAGGATCATTTGTACCCAGGAGGCAGAGGCTACAATGAGCTGAGATAGCACCATTGCACTCCAGCCTGGGCAACGGAACGAGACTCTGTCTCAAAAAAAAACAACAACAGAAAAACAAAATCCTAACACAGTGTTTAGTACTGAGTAACCTAGCTCTCTGACTTTATGTAATTCTTTGTATGTTCTTAATACATCCTGTCTATATAATTTTTAAAAAGTCAAATACAACAGCTTAAAGAGTTGCTATTCTTTAAGTCAAAAGTGACTGGACAGGTCAGAAATAGGAATGAAAAGGGAGGCAAGAAGAGAACATGGCCATCAAGTAGAAGTCAAGTGAGATGGCAACTTATCAATTGAGAAATCTATTAAGACTAAAGGAATTCAGAAACTAAATTGAAAATTTAATTCAACAAATATGCCTGGAGCCTTATTGTTGCTTTAGACTAGACACTGTGATAGGCCTGAAAGAAAGATGACATCTCTTACTCTCAAGAGACTTGCAACCAGTTTTATTATTTTAATTCTTACTCTAGTAATTAAGATCTAAGAAAAACTCCACCAAAATACTTTAGAAGACTGTCTACACGGAATAAGATGTACTGTTCTTTAGTAAGATTTCTGACAAACTTGTGTTTATTCATCAGTGTTTTATTAACCTGCTTGGCAGGTATGAACCTGTCCCTAAAATGTAAGCAATGTGCTTTGCAAGCCTTTACAATAAAGTAAGCCTTCCATACCCTTTGAGGTTGAGTGTCATGCTATATACTAGAAAGCAGAACAAAGTATTTTAAAATAGGAAATATCTCAGTATGTCTTCATTATAGTTTCAAATATGTTATCAGTCAGGCACAGTGGTTCATGCCTGTAATCTCAGCACTTTGGGAGGCCAAGGCTCAAGGATCACTTGAGCCCTGGAGATTGAGACTAGCAAATTCACGGCTCAAGAGGATGCATGGGTACAAGTCTAACTGGCCACAAGAACAGAGTCTAAAATCCTCTTATGAAACAAAAGAAAAATAAAGCTAATTATAAACGATTTCCTAGAGAGTGCTAAAGTCCTTACTCCAATAATAAAGAACAATTTTGTTGACTTAAAAGGAACAGTTAATTGCTTCAAAAATATATCTCCTCATTATAAATTGCGAGTGGGAGAACTTATACAGCATACAGGACAATCTCCAATTTCAAGATGGATGGGTGGGTTTTATATTGCAATGCCTGGAGTCAATCTTTTCCTGCCACGTACTTATACCTCAGACAAATAGAACAACGCTGTGCTTTCAGAAGTGAAATAAGATCTTACTCAGATAACACTCACTGAGTGAGCCAGTCATGAGCAGAATGAGTGAAAAGCCTCAGGATAAATTCCCCCAAAGGATTATTAGCCTAGATCAAGAAGTACCAGGACAAAACAATTTCTGCTTTATCCCACCTTTCAAAGGAATTCCATGGTTTTAATGCCTATTTGATTTCAATATAATATGCTTTATAAAGAACTACTTCTAAGACATTTTCAAATGGTATGGTATACACCATAGCTTTTCAGATTGTGGCATTGAAAGAAAATTCATCTCATTACTACTCAATTCTCTCAGTCCAAAAGAAAATCAGAATGGCAATTTATTTAGTTTTCTCTCATCTGCATGAGTAAAGATTAATTTAAGTACAAATCTCTAAAAGAAAGAGCTCTCACCCTAGGGTAGAGGTTTCCTGCATACCCACTCAGAAAGGAAAAGAAAACCCTTCAAACATCTTCATAGTTAATGTGTGTTTGGATAGTTGTTTTCAAGTTTCACTTTCATCAATCCTTCTGTCATGCATCTTTGGGACCAAGATTTTCCTCAAGCAGGGCATGGGGATGGAAAGGAGAATTTTTCTTCATTAAAATGACTTTAGAAATCAAGTTAGTACCATATTTCAACCAGCAATTTAATAATTGATTCATATAAGGATCAAAAATAGATGCTAAAACCATTGAGTGAATCACTGTCAGGGAAAAAACATGCACATGGTCTCTAAGATGACCCCACAGGTGCCTTCTTAGTCATCAAGAGGATTAGGCACCTTTACAATGGAGAGGTCTGGTCAACACCAACTTAGCCAAATGATTAAACTTAACCTAGCTAATATCATACACCTTCTGAAGAGAAGCAATGTACACTTGCTAGCAATGTTTAATTTGAATCTAATTATGAGGACACTAACAGTTAGATGAATCTAGACTATAGCACATTTTACCAGACAACTGTCTTTGACTTTTAAAACGTGTTAACATCATAAAACACAAAATAAGAAAACACAAAAAAGACAGGAAGACAAGAGAGCTCATAAAAGAGATGAAAGAAACATGACAACTAATTGCTCTTTGTAATTTTTTTTTTTTTTTTTT